AAACTAGAGTGCACGTCCTAGCCGCATGACGTTAAAAGGCTTCACACAGGTCTCGAAGGCATGACCCTAAACACGGTCACAATAAAAAGAGAAAAATAATAATAAAGGGCATGGTGTATACCTAGTCAAGGGAACGCCATGAGTAAAAATGACAGACGGGCATGGTCATGAAACCATGAGTAAAAGAGTTCCGTAAGAATAAAATAAAAAAAAATAGTCACAGTGAGAACCCGAAAGGGCATCGTGAGTAAAAATAGACGAAAAAGGTGTACATGGCCAAGGGTCATGGGTAAAAGAGCTCCAAATAAAAGGAAGTTGGTGAAATCCTTCTCTACAGCATGGCTTCCCAAGTCTAAGTGAAAATCCACAAAGGACGCTTGGACCAATAAGCAGGTTGATGCAGCGCTCACCTCCGCAGGTGGCTTCAGCCCACATTCAAAAGAAAAATCCATGGTGTCGCAATACTAGGACTCAAAAAATACGAGCTTTAAGGAAAGATTCTGACAACCTGAGTCCATTTAGATAAGGACTCGATGAGCAGAAGATTTGCCAAGAAAGCAAGACAAGTCTCATGAAGAAGAGCATTATTCCCAGGAGGTTACAAACGCACTCCAAGATGCCGGAGATGCCTTAAGAAGGCTAAATCAGCCATGACTTTGGACCTGTTACGCGAGACTATTAACAGTGGGTAGGGGTTATACCCAAAGCCTGTCACCTCGATAAACTGAGGTACCCTGCCCGCTAAGGAATATCTAGTAAACAACACAGACAAATGCCAACAAAAGGCCCTTCAACAGACCATTCAGAACAAACAAACAAGAAGTCATTTCGAAAAACCAAAGATATCCACGAAGGTAAGAAACTGACCAAGCCAGAGCTGAACCTGCTAGAGACTTAAGGGTGATGCCTCGCCATGAGCCTCCTCGTCAAAATCCCTCCCTAGCCGACAGGCCCAGACTTTCAGGACATGCCAACAAAAAGCCCCCGACTGGACCCGGCAAGAGAGGGACCACAGAGGTACCCTGCTTGTCAAATGCAAACCTGGTGTAGCAACAAACAACGCTGACCAAAGGCTCTTTGGCTGTCAATCCAAAAACAAAGAAACCCAGACCAAATGGGAAACATGCCCTTCAACATGTCACTCGACTACCAGACATGCTTGATTCTGACTAACGAGGTCCGTACAAAATCCTCGGCTTTAGAGTCACAATTAATCCCTTGAGGGTGAGGACTTCGATAGGATCCCTCAAAAAAGTCTCTTCTCCCCCTAAAGCCTCCACGGATGGACCTATGCATTTCATCCAAATGTCTGAGCATCCTAGTTGCAGCATTGCGTGAATCTCCTCGGCGTTCACATTGTCATGTGGCTAGGAAGAAAAAAGTAATAAAGTCGAAGGAAATTTTTTGAATGTTGTCCTTCTCGCTTCTCTCGAAGCACAACATTCGACGGGGCACGCTGTTTGAACACATTTTTTAGCACCTTTTTCCCTGATGCAGAATAAAGAGGAAGCAGGTCAATAAAACCTCAACATACAGTGGAAATTTTGACAGTCTCGGAATGGCCCCAGAACAGGTCAAGATCTTCATAAGCACTTCAAAAGGCCACCTATCAAGTTTCATTGCAATCAGACATATCTAAGGCAGTGAACACAAAGAAACAATTTCGGTAAAATCGGCATGTAGCACCCTAAAATAGACTCCATAACTAGAACTATATTTTTGGTATATCAAACAGCTGTAGGACCACCACCATTGGATTCGGCATGGTCGAAAACCCTATGGGTCAAGTTTCGGCTTAATCGAGCACTTTAAGACAAAGTTATGGATAAAATATCAAAAAGGGATAGGCTGCACACTATTCCCGTGTAGCCACCTGGCACCAAAACACCATTAAAGATGGTTATTTTCATAGTCACGGGCAGTAACTTTCGGGGCCCATATCTCACTCGTTCTAAGTCGGATCGCTCTCAAATTCTTTGAGGGTATTCGTCTCATCAAGACGAACGTTTCGATATATGGTACGCCCCATGGCGATGCCCGAGCAAGGAGAAAAAACTAGAGAGAAGTTGCTGATCTGTAAAGAAAATTTCAAAAAATTCAGCAGCAGCATGCCTCACTCGAGCTGCCAAATCATGGCGCTCGCATACTTGATCAACACGAAACCAATTACATTATATGCGTAAGGTCTGAGGCTATCCCTGGTCCGTACCCCGTGTACGATGAATGGTTGGATTTTACACATGAAGGAATCAAAACTGCTGTAAATTCCGGCTGTCGGATTTCAAGATTTCGATCAAAAACTCAGGACGACAAAATCTTCATCCGGACACGAAATCGAGCTGCGTTTGTTGCCACGCGATCGTGATGGCATGCTTAGTGTGATTCAGTGAAGAAACGAAGAAAAACATCAAGAAACGAGTACACTATTGATCCAAAGTTTTTAAATTTTAAGTCTCATGATCATGGCTTAAAAACATGATTCATGGCTCGAAGTTGGTATCAAATCGATCGTCATGCAGAGCCCTACATGAAAACAATTATCTTTCAATCAAATGGGCATCAGAGCAACCCCGGATCAGTCATGAAAGATCACGCAAGTTCTCGAGCAGAAATAGGGACTGTTCTGGAATTCCACACATTTTTAGGCAGGGGCAAAAACAGTCATTTTATACCCATTTTTAGAATTTCATTTAATTCAATTAAAATATAATTATCTTCAATTTTAGGTAGTTTTTTGCTATCCACCCATGTTTGTGCCCAATTCTATATAAACACGCAATGCCTAATTGTAAAAAAACCTTGGGTTCATTCTTCAACCATTCAATAATGATTTCAATTCCTGCTTAAGATCGTGGGTGCGTCTTGGAGAGAGAGAGAGAGAGGAGAGAGAATAAAAGGGCCGGTACCCCTCGATAAGGTAACTTTCTCTATCTTCCTCTTTTCTCTCTCATCTCTCTCTCTTTCTCTCTCCTCTTTTCTCTCTCATCTCTATCTCTCTCTTTCTTTCACTTCTTTTCTCTCTCATTTCTCCCTTTCTCTTTTCTCTCATCTGTATCTCTTTCTCTCTCTTCCTTTTCTAATCTATCATGTTTCTCTCTCCCTGTTCCTCTTTCTTTCTCCATTCACGCATGACGGACCTATCGTCTGGTGTGATGCCTATCTGCTCATGAGACATGAACAGTAAGCGGGCCTTAGCCCGAGTGGCGGGCCGGGCCTTTATCAAAGTTCTCTCTTCTCTCTTCTATCACAGACGGTGCAAGTCTATCGCTGCCGGTGTTCTCTATCTCTTTCTCTCTTCTGTCACAAACGGTGCAAGTCTATCCCCCCTATGTTTTCTCTCTCTTTCTCTTTTTTGTCACAGACGGTGCAAGCCTAGTGTCGCATGTGTTTTCTCTTTCTTTCTTCTCTTCTGTCATAGGCAGCGCTACGGCGAAAGGCTAGCACCGCCTGTATTTTTCATCCTTATTCTTCTATCACAGAAGGCGAAAGCCTATCGCTACCTATGTTCTTTCCCTCTCCTCTTTCTTCTGACACAGCCGATGCATGCCTAGTGCGGCCTGTGTTCCTTCTCTCTCTCTCTTTTCACAGACAGTAGAAGCACATCGCCGCCTATATTCTTTCTCTCTCTTCTCTCCTTATGTCACGGCCGATGGAGGACCATCGCTGCCTAAGTTTCATCTACTTCTTTCTCATGTCACAGCCGACAGAGTTTCATCTACTTCTTTCTCATGTCACAGTCAGCGGAGTTTCATCTACTTCTTTCTCATGTCACAGTCGGCGGAAGCCTGTTGCCAGCTGTGTTTGCACCTCATTCTTCTTCCTCACGTCATAGCCAGTGGAAGTCATTGCCCTCTGAGTCTTCTCTCTCCCCATCTCATTGCCGTCTGTGTCCTCCTTCTCCCTTCCTTCCCTTCTCTCTCTTCTTATTCTCTCATTATTTTCCCTCTTATTCTTCTCTTTTCTCTTCTTTTCTTCTTATTCTTCTTTTCTCTCTATCTTCCTGTTTTTCTTCTTTCTTTCTCTTACCCTTTCGTTTGACCAAGAGAAGTCGAGACTAGCCTTCCATGGTAGTCATGTCATTTAGCCATAATGTCGTTGTGCCAGTCAGAGTTACTGTGCCTGTATTTAGCTAGTCGGTATTGGTATTGTCGTCTAGTAGTAATTCTGTTGAGCCGGTCTGAGTTACCGAACCCATTTTATTGCCACGACGGGTCAATTACTTCCTAGTTTAGTTACTGTGTCGGTCTCACCTCTGGTCAAATTCTTCTAACCCCAATCTTTCTTCTCTCATTCTTCTCTCCCTCTTTTTGAATGTGCACGTCCGTGCACGTTCCCGAAAGGCAAGGTGGGGTCCCTTGACCCGCTTATCTTGTAACATTTGTTATGTGTATGTGATTGCAGAAGCAGGAGAAGTCAAGGGAGGCGATTTCGAACCAGTTTTACGACTGGGGGGCTTTTTTCGTGATCTAATAGGGTGCCCACGCAAGCCAGCCTGAGTAAGTCTCAAACCCATCTTAAATTCCTCTTTCATCGATTGGTCTACCTGCCCTTGTTTTTTAGCAAGATTCCCAAGAGAGCGATATCAAAGTCTCGGGTTCCCTTGAAACCTGAGACGCCTGTCACCTGATCATCCGGATCTAGAGGGCGAGATCGAGGCACCTAACCAGTAGTCTTCATGTAATTTTCTAAATATCATGACCCAACCTGGATCTGATCTAAGTCAAATGGACCCATACCTAACTTGTTGGGTCTAATATCCCAGTCCAGACCCAGACCAAGACCAGGGCTGGGTTGATGTATGGGTCAAGCCAACCTGATTGACATTTTCCAAAGCCACCCGGCTGGGTGGGTGATTTGAAAGTTGTAGTCCATGTTTATTTTCCTGAAATGCAAATAACTTTGTAGAATTGAAGGTGCTAGAATAGAATCATAGGCGTTTCGTCAAAGCCACGGTGTATGCGGTAGTTTCATGTATAAAATTATACAATAATTCAGCAATATAAAAAGTTCCACCACCCCAAACTCTTAAAAATATGAAGAAAATATTCAAGAAACAAACTTGGAAATCTTGCAGTGTCAATTATAAAGACGAAGTGCCATTACACACAAGTGCACTTAAGCGCAGTCATCAACTACTCATACAACAACACATCCAGAAACACCTTCCGATGGATTTGTTCCGCTTTATTCGGTCTCTTGCCATAATGGCAACAGCTCTCTCATGGGAGAGAGTGAGAGTGCATGTGTGTGTGTCATCCCATTGCATATTTCCGAGTCCAGCTTCGGGCGGTGTAATCGTATTTGTATCGGTCAGTTTTGCACACGTGCGCAATCTCAGGAACCAGAGGGTCGTCAGGATTGGGGTCTGTGAGCAGCGAGCATATTGACAGCAATACCTGCAACACACCATTTTTCGAGTGATCCAAAGAGGTTTACAGAGTTGTAGAGAAGTGGTTGAGCGAGGGACCTTGGATATAGTGAGAGCAGGGCTCCACTGCTCTTTGAGAATGTCAAGACAGATGTTGCCATTGCTGTTGATATTGGGATGGAACACTTTGGTCCTGAATGCAACCTGCATTTTCACCACAAACACCTCTCAATCCTGGAGATATAACCTCTAAATTGGGAAGTAGGAGGAAGAAGGCCCCTCTACCTTAGGGGGTTTGAAAGGGTAATCAGGGGGGAAGTGAATGTTGACGAGGAAGACACCGCCAGCATATGGGCTGTCGTTAGGACCCATGATGGTTGCCTGCCAGTGAAACATATCATCTGCTACAGGACCTGCCAATTTAACCTTCCATACTCAAACCTCTCTCTCTCTTTTCTTCCCCATTATATTTTCTCTGAAAGAGCAAACCAAAAGAAGAAAAGCAAATGCAGAGAGAGAGAGAGCACCTGCACTGCATGAAGTTGGTGGGTCTCTCTGGAGATCCTTGAGCTCTTTGATGATCCTTTTGGACGCCATTGGAGGGAGAAGGGTATGCATGGATGACAGGTTCAAGGCGGAAGGGTGGTATATAGAGGGGGAGAGATAGAGAATCTGGAAGATGGTCGCCGAGTGGGACATCTAGAAAAGCAGTCATTCAAGAATCTTATGTTTTCAAGTGTGCTACTCTACCGCTTTATGCTGAACATATATATATATCTCCACTGAGCTTTATTAGTTGAAGTGGGGTGGGGCAAGACTTGGACATCACAAGAATACAATTGACCGCTACCGATTTGAGGGGCTCACAAATTGAAGCAGAGAAAAAACATAAAAAGGCATGCATATTCCAACTATTTCATTCCTGACTTTTGTGATACACTCAAGCTATTAGATTTCAAATCGGATGATTGTATGTAATTGTAACCTCCCCATATCAAAAATAAATAATCGTATGTAAATGTGACCTCTCCGTATCAAAGATAAATAATCACATTGTAGACAATCCCTTCTACAAATATTTGGCACCTGGGTAGGGATAGCATCCGAATTAAAACAATTGAGGTATCAAGAATCGAGTAAAAGAAAACTGGGAACATGTAGTGCAGGAACCTTTGCAAGCTTCAAGTTTCTTTAATTTGCAAAAAAAATCCAAAGGGCAAGTGGGTTGATTTTCCCCGAAAGCCAACCATCATTTAAATCCCTGCCAACCATCATTCAAATCCCTGCGGACCATTGGATTTGATGTGTACGGTCCAGATGAAGCCAGTGAAAAGTAATCAGGAATCATGCTGACTTTCAATATTGAAACAGCACATATTCGTGCTTAGCCCCCGCATCTTTTTTTTCTGGTGGAGCACGCACAAATATCCCCCCACTCAGCGAGTCAATATGCTGATGTTTTACTCGTGCGAGTTTTCCCTCATTAAAATTTACAAAGCCCGTTAGCGTCCAAAAATAAACCCACAAATAGAAAGCGAAACAATTTAAAGGAAGATCAGACATTATTTTGCTCATCTTCTCTCGCTCTCTACCCCTAAGCTCAGCCATCAATTATTTTGCTCATGTTACCTCTCTTTCTCTCTCTCTCTGTTTAATCTCAACAATCTATTATTTTGCTTAAGTTCTCTCTCTCGACATACATACACTAGCTGTCTATCCGGTGAGAACGAGCTGTCTATCGGGTGAGAACGAATCGACACGGGAGGCGCCACATCTCAATGTCCAAACTCCACCCGTGGAAGAAAAAGCCACCCATCATCCATCTATGCAAATTATAATCGCCACAGGACACGTGAATATTTTGCAGATGGATCGTAAAAATAAGTCAAGTCCGTAAACAAGCAGAAACACGAGCACTGGGGCATCATCATCGAACTAAAAAATAAGGTGCCTCCATGAACGTGCCAGTACACCACATCATCATGCAAAGAGAACTGGTGATGGTCATGTGCAAACCTTGTACTAATTTAATATATAAAAGATAAAGATACACAGAATGTGAAAGAGCTGCATGGTCCATGCACGGAAATAGTCACGAGGCAGGGTCTTTCTCACCTCCCTCTGCTAGAAATCTTTCCTAGAAGAAGCATCTCTGAGTTAGCCTTCATATAGATCACCACAAAACCCAAAATAGAAACAATTCACCTGATGATTTTCCATGCTCTAAAAATGTCAGAGGACTATACACCCCAAGACCAGCTTCCTTAGAGATTAAGAGTGAGAGAGAGAGATGGTGAGAGAAAGAAGAGAGATAGCATGAACGGTGGGTCGGTGGCCTTTTTCTCTCGCTAGAATCACAAGATGGAACAGCCCTTTTGTGCCTTTCTCTTCTTTTTCTTCTTCTGCTTGGGCGGCTGGAGAACCACCTTAATGGCTGCATCGAAAACTGCCTTCACATTCTGCACAATTATAAAAGACAACAAAAAATGTACATCAACTAACAATACCTCACACATAATGCAATAGACCAAACCAAAATGTCTCCAAGAAAAGAAGCAGAAACCTGTTGCGTCTTGGAACTGCACTCTATGTATGCAGGAGCTCCAATCAGTTTCTTCAGCTCTTCTCCCTACAAAACACAACCGTCAGAAAGTACAATAAGATGGCACATAGAAAAAGGAGAGGAGTCTTCAAATGGATGGTAAGGTACCTGGAGAGTAGTGATGGGCACTGCACCTGGGTGATCTATAAAGAACTGCTTGTCTTCTCGAAGATCTGCACAAACAAACCTCTATTACTCACTTTGGAAGTGTCGTTACAGAGAAAAACATTTGATGAAAGACTATGACCTTTGTAACCTTAAAAGGACAAATGCAAAGGTAGCACCTACTGTAAACATGCTCAGCATATTATTAACTATGCTTTTCAATTATGATGCTCAGGTACAACAAAGGACATATCCAAGACAATTTTCTGTTGACAACGCACATCTCTGAATATCATCCCCCAACTCAACCATTTTCAAGTATCAGTATATCTTTAGTCTCATCCATGTAGATCTGTTTTTGTGTGTGTTTATCAGAGAGGGGGGAAAGAGAGTACTCTGCCAATCATAGAGTCCAAAGGCTCATTGGGCAGCCTCAAGCTTCATCATCATCTCTACCCAAATTATCAGAAATATTTGTGAATCACTTTTGATGGTATCAATGTTTGGGTAAAGCAAAGGACACATATTAAGACAATTTTTTGTTAAGGATGCATATGTCCTGGAAATATCCACCGAACTCAACCATTTCCAAGTAGTTGTGCATATTAGACTCGTTCAACTTCATGTCATGCAAAGTGTCTATGTTGTTGTTGTTGTTGTGTGTGTGAGGGGGAGAGAGAAAAGCACCTAAAAACCAGAAACACCACAAAACTTGTAGTACATTCAGGTATAAACAGTTAACCCACCAATGGATTGTAAATAACCTAATACACACAGTGCCAGAGGGAACTCCCATGCAAACAACATGGATCAATGGTATATTTGGCAGTCTCAAGCTTCATCATCATCTCTACCCAAATTACCAAAAACTTCATTCTTTGTGAATCACTTTCCACAGTATCAAATCAAGGATGTCATGAAGCAAAAGAAATCTATGGAAGTTGTAACCCCAAAAAATAAAAAATAAAAGGGTGAACACAAAACATTAAAGTCCAAACTTTTCACTTCACCGAGCAGGGAAACTGACCAATCAGAAACACAACAACACAATCAACAGAAAAAACAGTATTGGGAACGTCAAGCCTTGTTACTTCTAAAGAAGATACAAATAAAAGATCTGTGAAAAAGACAAACCATGAAATAGATATCATAAAGATAATTTGTTGTCCAGTGCAGCAAAGTTTGGAATGTACTGAACAGGTAGGGACCCTCAAACTCACTTCACCAAGCAGGAAAAATGTTTCATTACACATGATTTATAGAAGTTAGCGATCAGAAATGCAAGACAATACATTCAACAGAAAAAACAGCTTTGAGAATGTCAAAATGGAGCCTTATTACTTCTAAAATAAGATACAGACAAAAAAATCGTGAAAAAGACAAACTACGAAATAGAAATGATGGAGACAATTTGTTGTTCAGTGGCACCAAAGTTTGGAATATATTGAACAGGTTGGGGCCCTCACAAGTCACCAACATAAGCTTGTGATGTGCATGTTTGCACACCCACAGATTGTGTAACAGGATCTTTGCTGTGCCATAAAGTAAAGCTGGACAGCTATTAGACCAGCTTTGCTTTATGGGGTGCAGTGTTCAAAAATTTGGCCGCCCAACCGCCTAGGCGGAACCTAGGAGGGGCACCTAGGGGGCTTGCGTCAAGGCAGCCACCTCGATGCAAGTTGCCGAGGGCGGCACCTAGGGGGCTAGCGTCAAGGCGGCCGCCTCAATGCAAGTTTCCGAGGGCAGAAAAATGCCCTCCGATACGGTCTAAATAGTAATTTTTCGTCCCAAAAAATGGGGGAAAACGGTTTTGGGGAACATTCTAAAGCCCCAAAACCAAATCCGTGCCATCTAGAGAGAGAAAAAACCCCCAAAAACCTCTATTTAGTGATTTATCGAAAGATTGATAAATTTTTTACTTTTTCAATTTCTTCCAAAATCAAAGGCAATGCTTCGTAGTTTTCGAAGCTTCTAGTGGTCAATAGTGAGGACTTTTGGTGATCGAATAGACGAGGTTTGGGTTTTGATATTTTTATATGGATATTTTTAGTGGAAACCATTTGAGATAGTTCAGGGAGAGAGAGGCAGTAAAGGGAGATAGCGTCAAAAACATGAGAGATTAAGCAAATGCTTTGAGAAGCACAGAAGTAATAAGAAATGTAATCCTCAATAACAGGTTTTGAAATCAACAGATGTGCATAGGAAACACAAGATATTGAATGAAATGCAGGAAGAAAACATACAGGAAAAGTGCATTTTCCACAATTTCGGGGAATAGGATTGTACCAGTTCCTAGAACAAAGTTTTTAGGATATAGGCTTCCAAAAAATAATGAACTTTCTTCGTCAACAACAGTAACTCCTTGAATAAATAGGGGATGAAAATCTTCTACTCTAAGTTATTTAATTGCATCATATCCTTATCTTGATTTTCCCGAGAACAAAATCCTTAGGATGTAACAGAAAGTAGAGAAGCAAAGGAGAATGTACATTTGAGCTAGGTCCAACGAAGATTTTATCAAGCTAAACCAGCCACACACACCAATGAATAAAAGGTATTAGTATTCAAAGAAACTGCAGATCTTTTGAAACTGATAACAAAATTTATGGAAAAAAAAATTACAAGCATCATCCAAAATAAAGCTACGAGTGGTCTAACATCTCGGCAGCAACTACCAAATCACTCATTTGACATAAATACATCATGCCCCTTGTCGACTAACAGATCAATCACTTGCAGCAGCCCAAAACATTGATATTAGCTCTAAGTCAATAAGTAATTCAGATTTAAATCTTCCTAGTAAGATATACCTGGCACCCAAGGTCGCATAGATCTCAATAGCAAATTAACTATATTTTGAACCATATAATGTAAATATGAACCATCTTGCAATTATGAAATTCATGGAAGGAACCTAGCATAATTTTAGGTGAGTAAAAAACCTCACGTAATATTCAGGACACAGATTTCCAACAGGAACAAATGCTTTAACTTTGGTTAGGTTGGGACAAAAGGCTTCACATGAAACTTTCAGGTTTCCAGCAATTAATAAGTTAATGCTTCCTATATCTCCTATCCATCTCATAATGTATAGTGCAAGACCCCAACTAGAGAAGAGCATATACAAAAAGATCACTACCAGTAACTCTTATAACCTCCACACATCCATTAATGATCTTTCCAGCTCCTCAAGCCACAATAGAAGGGCCAGGTTGAATGCATAATTACAATTATTCTCGTCAAAAAAAACTTGCAAGTTTCTCCACCCTAAATGACAAATCTTACCATTTTATTTTATCATGCCCATTGACTGTTCATTCTTTTGTAGACCTCTCTCTCTCTCTCTCTCTCTCTCTCTCTCTCACACACACACACACACACTACACACACACACACACTACTACTACTACTACTACTACTACTACTACTCTCTCT